CTTCCGCCATCTCACCAATCGACAAGGCCTTCTCCCGCTGTTTGTTCCTTCCGCCTCGCTCAGCAGTGGCGACGACGACGGGATCAATCGGTTCCCTCTCTCCGGCGGTGGTGAGGGAGGAGGGGACGACGAAGGGGAGGAGGTGCCCTCTGATGGGGACAATGCAGGGTACAAGAACAGGGTAGAGGCGATAATGGTGGTGGCGGAGGCAGGGAGGTTGCTGGAGAACCTGCTGAAAGACCTGACGGTGGCAATCCAGGACGCGAGGATTCCGGGGTCGGTGGTTTCGAATTTTTTGGAGCTAGAGAAGTCGGGGATGATGCGGTGGCTACTTCAGTTTGGTGCGTTTAAGGAGAGGTTGCTGGCGGATGATTTGTTCTTGGCGGCGGAGGAGCAGAGGGAGTCGGCGGCGAGGAAGTAGGTGTAGGGGAGACTTAGTTTAGAGTTTTGTTTTTCTAATTAATTGATCTCTTTGACATTAATAATAAAATAATTAAAACTGAAATTAGGACTAAATGAGGGGCAATTGGGTCATTTCCTAGCCTATTCAACGGTCACTTAACGGATAATTAGATGGAAGGGTAAACTTGTTACCATTTAATATTAGAAGGGTATGTTTGTGCAAAAATTTAGTAGAGGGGTACATTTGTTAATTTACCAAAGTAGAGGGGGTAAAAAATGCTATTAACCCTTTATTTTTATTAATCACTATCCTAAGTTGGCTAGATAACGAATCCTAAACCTGAAGTAGGGTAACCCTAGATCCCCGTGGTACGATAAATTCTTATTACTTGCTTGCCCTATGCTACACCCAGTCGCCGGTTATACTTGGTCTTCGATTGGGATGTTGTAGTTAGAACGAGTCAGTTGGAATGCCACCGGTATGACCGACATGACCAATTTTCAACCTATAAACAAAACGACGTCTTAATTAACAAACATATTTATTTATTTATTTATTTCATTTAACGTGATGTTATTTGCTGGATTCAAGTATGAAAGTTTAACCCTTTTATTCTCTCTCTTACTTTAGTTTGAATCGTTTGCTCTCTCTTCTCTCTAAAAGCATCCTCTCATCCCCTTCTATTCAGGGTTGCCATCGTTCCCTTGGGTATTTGGAGGGGGCCCAACTTTTCCTTTTTCCTGAACTTTTCCAGCTTATCTTGCATTTTTCCAACCCATGTTGGCTTTTTCTAGACCTTTGTGATCATTCTCCAAGTGATTCTATCCACATTATCGTTTCTGGTTTTCTAGATCTCGTTTGACTTTGCTCCTTGGATCCGGAAATTGAAGTCTGGAGAGCTTCTAATGATGTTTTGCTATTGAGGGTTCTGCTCTAGGTTGGTGTGCTCGTCTCTTCTAATGAGCAGATTCACTAATCATTCCTTCCATCTACCTCTAGTTTACTTGAAGCCTTTTGGTCAACTGAAGTAGGGTTTTGGTGTAATTCTTGTAGTTGTTGGTTGTGGTTCGTCGACTTTTTGGAGATGGCGAAGATGAATCTTCCTTTTTTACGATTCCTGGTCATCCTTGCCTCCGGCTTCCTAGGCCTTTACAACTCAGAGCATTTCGGTTTCTAACATGCCCACTGGTGAGCAATCTCTTCCATGAGATTTACTGAGATGGGTCGTCTTTAAACGATCCCCAGGTGGGCTTATGGCATTGCAATGTTCAATAGCCATGGGCATGTATGGTTTCGGGAGAGTTGGAAACCTTGCTTGTATTGTGCTCTTTTTTGTGGAAGCAAGGGGTTCTACATTCACATTGTTAGCCTCCCCGTTGTGGATTTTCTTTTGTGGGAGATCTATCTATTTCTCGTTCTTTTCTGGTATTTTGCTTTTGATTTGGATTACTCTGACATTTGACTTCATTGTTGATTAGCTTCCTGCTTTCATTGTGTTTCTCAATCCTTGTAACTGTGATTCTCAATGCAATACAAGTGCTCCTCTTGTAAAAAAAAGGTATGAAAGTTTAGGTGTTCGTATTATTTGTTGGATTCAAGTATAAACTTTTGAATATGTATGTTAAGTGTTAATTTAAATATGTGAATTTTTTTTATTTGGAATATTGTATTTTATTTAAATATGGATATATATGTTAGGGAGATTGTCTTCAAATTCGATATATATGACTAAATTTATTTAGTGCAAATGATTTCCCATTTCGCTACATATTTCCACAGGACTGGCATAAACTGACATAAATCGATTGGACCATATACACATACAAAATCAACATGGGTATAAACCAGTTTCACAACCTTGTACCATAACGTTAAATGTATAAGTTCAGATTCCTTATAAAAAAATGTATAAGTTCAGGTTGTACCATAGAAGAATTTGTACCTTTATATTATGATACAATTTTACAACTTAAAGTTGTACCATCACATAAAGGTACAAGTTCAAGTTGTACCATAAAAAAATTTGTATAAAAGAGTATAGGTACAATCTGAAATTATACCATAACATTAAAAGTACAACTTCAAATTATATCATAAAAGAAAAAATATATAGCACACCAATGTAAAATTCTTCAAAAAACGAAGTCGATGTCGCTGGCTGCCAAAGAGGTAGTGATCAAATCCGTCGGATCTGCCTCAACAATCTATGCCATGTCAGCATTCCGTATTCCGGCTACGTCCTGTCGCAGGATGTACAGTCAACTGGCGCGGTTCGGTGGGCTGATCAAGATAAAGAAAAGGGCATACATTGGCTAGCTTGGCCTGATGTCTGTCGTAGTAAGCTTGAGGGAGGGCTAGGATTTCGGGATTTTGATCGATTTAACATCACACTTCTAGCTAAACAGGCTTGGCGGCTGCTGCAATTCCCTGATTCTTCGATTGCATCGCTATACAAGGCTAGATATCATCACTCTTCGACAATACTTTCTGCACAGGAGGGCTCTCGTGCCTCGTGGGCCTGGCAGGGACTGCTCGAGGGCCGTGACTTGTTGGCTCGTGGTCTCGTTGGAGGATCGGGAATGGGGCAGCAGTGCATATCCTTACAGATAAGTGGCTTCCATCTTCTCCTCCTTCTTCTCATGTACTGCTACCTGATGTCTCCCTCCCATTCACTTTTGTTTCTGAACTAATTTGCCCCCTGACTCATGTTTGGAAAATTGACATTTTGCATAGCTTGTTCACAGCGGAGTCTGTTGCTTTGATTTTATCTATTCCGTTACCTATGCAGATTATTCCGGATAAGCTGGTGTGGCATTATTCGCCGACAGGTGAGTACACGGTCAAGACAGGGTATCAACTCTTGTCGACAGAGTTGAATAGGTTGCATCCGCCGCGGAACATACCTTATGAGAAGCGATTCTGAAAATTCCTTTGGAATCTGCCTCTACCGCCGAAGCTTCGTGTGTTTTGCTGGAGGATCGCCAGGGGATTTTTGCGGTATGTGAAGTGCTCCAGTTCAAGAGGTTAGTGGATGATAGTACATGCCCCGTCTGTTCCACTGGCAGTGAAAGCATTATGCACTCTTTCCTTCATTGTCGGGTTGCCGTAGAACTGTGGTAGCTTGCGGAATTGGGCCTGTTGATAGCAAGGTTATCATCCCTCTCCCACACTGAGTGTTGGCGGGTCCTATTCTTCGATTGTCGTATTAACAAAAATGAGGTTGCTAATGTTATATTTCTATGTTGGCGAGTTTGGAAATCGAGGTGTTGGGCGGTTCATAAACGGATCCAATACTTGGGCCAGAACTACTTCGGCAATATCGAGCTCAGGTGGAGGAATGGCGGGCTGCCATAGAGCCTCTTGCATCAGGGAACCCATAATCGCACTCACCAGGGTCGGCAAGCTGCGTCGGGCGGACAATCCGGCCGCGACGGGGAGTGCCCTCCGGGTGGGGTACTAGTCCGGGTGGATGGAGCATGGAGACAAGGAGCAGGAGGTGGTATTGGCTTTGCGGGCTTTTCGATGAATGGTGCCTTGCTATTCGCGTTTGGCAAACACTATCCAGGTATCGATGATCCTTTCCTTATGGAATTGTTAGCACTTCGTGATGCAATAAATTGGTGTCTGATGCATGGTTTCCTGGTTGCGAATTTCTATGGGGATTGCCAAACATTGGTGCGAGCTGTCCGGGAAAGGGATGTGGCGCATGGTCGGGGCAGTGCGATTTTGGAGGAGATACGAGTGGTGGTGTCTTCGTTCTCCGTGTTTTCTTGTACTTTTACTACTCGCAGGTTTAACAGGGCTGTCCATTTAGTGGCACAACAGGCCCTTTTATCGGCAGTTCGACTATTTGTCGAATGGCGCGTTTGGTTGTTTGATATTCTCTGACTATTTATTTTCATCTATCAATGCTAAAAAAAAAAAAAATTCTTCCACACTCAGACAGGGGCGGATACATGGGCCTCTAGGGGTGTCCCGGGACACCCCTAAAATTTGGGAAAACGATTATCCAACCTTCGGTAGTAGTTTCGTATGGTTATGCAAAATATAATTGGTAATCCGGAACACCCTAACATTTGAAAAAATGATTATCCTACCCTCGATAATAGTTTGCTTATGATTAACAAAATATAAGTGGTAGTCATTTGTTACTACTCATTTGTTGCTACTATCAAACATATTCTAATTATTTTGCTACTCATTTGTTATTCTATTTTAAACATCATGCAATAGTAAAACGCTATTTCTTTATCCCCAACTATTTTCAATACCTAATAATTAAACTACGTACACGCTACCCTTAATTTTGAATTGATTTTATGGTTACACGGCAAGTGTTGAAAGAGTCTTTTCTACTTTGAGCTACATTAAGAACAAGGTTAGAAATCGAATATGTGATAAGTTCGTGAAGTATTGTCTAGTAGGATATGTAGATTTTTTTTGAAAAATACAGACACGGAGTTTATTTATATTATTTTTTCAAAATATTAATTTATTATTTAATAAAAAATTTATACAAATTATACAAGTATGATATTTTTAATATATGAATTATTTAATTTATTATATAATTTAATTTAATTTTTGAAGATGACACCCCTATGAAAATTTTCTTAATCCGCCACTGCACTCATACCTCCAATTGTGTGTCCCAACTTCCATCTAAAGTTTCCTTTGCAGGGCATAAACCGCAACCTTTCCTGATCTGAACCGAATCAGTACCAAAAACACTAAACACAGATTAATTGCGACGTTGCAGTGCTACCTAATTCGGCAGCCAGCGACAGAATAGGTTAAGAGGAGTGGCTAAATGGCCCGTCAACCGTCGCTTTCCCCCGGTCGTCGGCTAACTGGTTAAATGGCCACCGTCATCATCTTCACTGCAAAATCAAGACTTCAATAAACTCTATCCGACGGACCCCATCTCTCTCTTAACCACGCGGGATGTGTGTTAATCGTGATGATAAAAGCGCTCTGTTCGTACTTTGTATAGCGACTCTGTGCGGCCTTCCCCAAAAAATTGTGATCCTCAATAACGCTTTTTCGTTTCCCTTCTTTTACAAAGCTATAAGAAACCCTCACTCCGACCATTTCCTCCACAAATCCGCCGCGCTAAACCCCTTTCCATTTTTTTTTCTCCCCGTCGATCGACCCAATCGCGCCGAATTTCGAATCCCCGAGTCGGATTAATTTTGTTGGCGGAAGAGATGCCGATATCGGATGCGGTGACGGCGAACCTGACGCCGATCTACGTGGTGGCGATTGCAGGGGTTAAGGCGTACGGGATGGTGTGCGGCCGGAATTTCGGCGCCGGGTTCGTCCTCATCGCGTCGACCGCGGTGGTGGGATTAATCCTTGTCGCCACGCTGACGTGGGACGTTTCGCGGAAGGCCACGTACGCGATTTCCGGCGAGAGCCACGACAGGTCAGCATCGGCGGCGTCGGGGAGAGGGGAGATGTGCAAGGGTGGGATTTGCTGGCACGGAGTGGCGGTCCGGTCGCCAGCATCTCAGGTTCGGTTCAGGCTCCCTCGCCATCATCATCACCACCAGCATCATCCGCCGGCAGCTGCTCCGCCGCCACCGCCGGCGTTCGGCGCGTGGTGAGAAATATGGGGTTGGATAGAGTATGTTCAAGCCATGAGGTGTTTTGTTACTTTTTTTAACGAGGGGAAAAGGGGAAAGTGACTAAGTGAGTGAGTGTAAGCAATGAAATGACGATAAGCCTGTAAATAATCACAGTTACTGTACAAATCACAGTGGAGAATCATAAGCCTTAATACTCGCAGATTAATTTAGGGAATTGCTTCTATCTAATACCAAACCACAGGGACAATAACCTAAATAATTGAGGAAGAGGTAAGCATTATTAGTCATTAAGCATGAACCATTTGGCGTTATAGCAAACACCCAACACAAATGACATAATAATGATCACGATGGCATCTTAGCCATTTTTAAATGTCCCGCTATAAGAGACCAACTTCATAAGCACACTTAGCTTCTAGCCAAATCGGCCCACGCTTTTCAGTTCATCAAGGTGGCGGGGCTGATGCTGTTAATCTGTACCTAACTAAAGAGCTACTCCCCAAAGCTGAGGTACTACTAGTGAATTAGACGGAGATATACATGAATATCACAGTCACATTTCTTCAATTCAACATCACATATTTGCAATGCACATAAAACGCAAAAATGACCAGTTAGGCAGCTACTTATCATTGCCTTGGTAAGCTATTACCTTATCAACTAGCTAATCAGACGCGAGCTCCTCTTTGGGTATACTAACTATTTCAAACACCATAACTTTTCAATTTTCAATCAAACCACTGAGAAATATATATATATTAACTCATCCTTAGAGTTAACCCATCTCATTCTACCCAAAAAAAAAAAAAAAATAGTTAACCCATCTCATATTCCCATAGGAGAAATAATTGAGGGGCTCTTGATACAGTAATTCTGGACGACAATTGGTTAGGGAGTAGGGACAGTTAAAAAAACGTAGGGATGATGATGATTAATATGCAGGTGAGTCTACTTCAGTGTCGAAGGTTACTTTGTAGCAAACGCAGGAGAGAAATACTACCCTGAGTTCTCTTTGTTTCATCATCTACAGTCGATTTCTTCCCGCCCCTGACCCCCTGCAGTTGAGGCGATAATGTAAGTACATACGATCGTTTTAGCTCATCGACATCTCGGTAAAGATTGAAGTGACCAAGTTACATAGTTTAACTGGTGCCAACTTACTTTTGGTTTTTCTAGCTCGTCATCTATGGCCAAGGCAGTCATATCCCTCAATAGTGAAGACGATGCAGGCAATAGTCTCCTGATACGTAGGGCCAAAATAACATGAGAATTCACATCAGAAGAGGATTGGGGAAATGAGGGAAGGTAGGAAGCTAACCTCTTTGGTTTTTCTGGTTTGGTTGGCTTGCCACGTCTGTCCAATCCCATTTCGTCTTTGGGATCTTCGAAGCTGGAAGCTAGCCTGGATTTGACGTGAGATTGTGGTGGGTTGGATGGTTCCTGGAAAACACAAAAGCCACGTAGGCAAAAATTAATTCAAAACTTGATGACTAAGCTTTTGTATGCTTAGTACTGAAGTAACTCGATCGTTTTCACAACTTTGTCATCATGATAACCTCAAGTGTCAAAAATGGACACATCAAGAAGGCTTTTCAATGCTTCATTCATGGGCAACCAATCATTTAATCTTTGTATAGACTCTCATTGTCGATACAGGTTGATATGTTAAATCACTTTCTTGTCACATTTATTAATGATGAGGTTTGCAGGAAAAGAGCGTTGAACAGAGAAAATGGAAAGTAAATGAGGGAAAGAGGATTGGTCAATTACCGCCATGGAGTGGCCAGGTTTATTCCTCTTCAAATCCACTGTGTCTTCAACTTCAGCATCTATTGGAACAGAAGTTGATTGGTTTGAAGTTTCTTCCAAACATGTGGGGTGTGGATGCAATTCCAGGGGTTCCTCGCCAGGCATACCTGCTGGCTGAGTGATAACGAGATCCTGCTTAAGATCAAGACATCCGGCCTCTTCGTCTCCAAGCTCCACAGAAGTGCCCGGCATTTGGTCTTCTGCTGCCTAACAGCTCAAATAAAGCATACCATAAGTCGTTCAGCATATCAAACACTCATTTGTCCCGAGTTCCTTGTTACACCCGAATTGGACTTGCCAAGGAGTAGGTTGCTTGATGAAACGAAGCCTAACTTGGGTAAGCAAGTATTGATGGGGGATCATTAACTAAATGAAAGGCTTCCGAGACTGGTTGATTCAGAATCTGGAAATGTAAATACAGATATTCTTCTAAGATAGAAATTGAGCTATGTCTTAATTTACTGTGGAAGTTTATAGTAGAGCATATGTCACGTACTTCATTGATGCATGATTCTTGATGGCTGCTACTGCTTTCAGATGCTTGGTGGGGTGAACATTTGGCTGCATTTGTCTGGAAACAGAAGAAAGCTCGTCTAACTTATCTGTTATCATACTAAGTTACTCGGACAAGTTAGATTCTATGACAGGAAAGAGAAATTTATAAAACTTACCTGAGCAAGTGTGTCAGTATCTTGTTGAATCTGTTCTGAAATAGATCCAGTAGTCTTTGGAGAATTACAAGTGGGTTCCGAGACAAAACAGATTTGTTCGGAAACAGACTCAGCACTCTTTGGAGAATCACAAGGCTTGGGTTCCGGGACAGAACAGATAGGTTCTGAAACATGTTCAGTACTCTTTGGAGAATCAACAGGACTGGATTCCAAGACTCGTTCTGCCTGGAATATAGGGGAACGGTTAATTATAATGATCTAAAGTTCTACCAGCATTGCAGAAGAGAAACAGCATATTCTTACCTCCTCAACTTTGATCAAGGTGGCTTGCTCTGTGTTTTCCTTGGAGCAAGTACATCGGGACTTCAGATCCTCAAGTTCATTTTCAAGCTCAATGCGCCTGCCCATTTCATTTCTGAGGTTTTCACCTACACTTTCAACTTCCCGTTCAGCCACCTAATTATCAAATACATGTCTGATAAATAAGATGTGATCCCCGAACAAAAACCTGGTAGACAGCATGAGATGATTTTCAGAGGAAACTAATTGAACTTACCACTAGCTTGTCTTTGTATTGCTTCAACACTCTCCATATAGCCTTAGCAAAGTTCTGCGTAATGATGTGGCTTCTCTCCCTTGTTAATGACTCATTGGAGCTCAGCTTTACAGAACTAGATCGGATGGAGTCTGGTTTGTCCATAGTCGATGCCTCTGGAATGAAAGAAAGATGAAATGAATATGGCGTCCATGCAAACTAGACACCAGAAGGTAAACTAAATATAACATTGCAAGGTATTTCAACTTCAATACCATTAGTCTGAACTTCCTGCAAAAGTAGATTCCCATCTCCAATGGTTTTTGGCTCCTCGGTCTATTTGAAATGAGAAGAGTGGTTATCTCTCACTTTAGGGACACTAAGAACACATTCATATAACAGCAAGTAGTAACGGTTTAGGGAGGGATACCTGAGCATCGATGGCACTAGGCTTCATTCTTTTCTGTTGTCCAATCCTGGAAAAACTCTGAATGGACCTTTTGTTGCAAATAGAACTACTTGGATCCTCAATATTGTTGAATCTGAAAATTCAAAACCCTAGTGGTAAATACTGGATACTAATAATTAAATTTATAGAAACACAATGCAGTCAGTAAAAGCTAGGGACTTGCTTTATTTTCATGTAAGGAGAAGCCTGTCTGAGTAAGCAGGCTGTGTCCAAATAGTCGTCTTCCCCTGGCTTCACTGTCAATATCTACAATAATTGAACGGGTATCTGAAGTTGAGGCCTAAGGGTAAAATGAGATAAACTTATCGAAAATCAAGAATGATTGAGGAGATCTAATGGGATCTGGGAAAGGAAGCGTAGTACCAAACTCATCCGCTTCTTGCCTTCAAGATACTCTCTTAGATACTTGGTTAACTGAAATCAAGAATGAGGCCAAATTGTTCAATTCATCATAGAATCACCAAGCTAAACGAAAGAATGCAATATGGAAATAAGCAAGAAAGACTTACTCAACAAGAATGGGAACACATGAACTAAAGCAAAAACACGACAATGGGCAAGGCAAAACCAAGGAGGCATCAAATTGTAGAATTACCAAAGAGTTCTGGAAATGCTTCTGTAATGGTTTCTTGGGATTCTTCTGGTGCTCCAGTAATGCCTGGAAGCAAAAGACAATATAATTACACGATTCTAGAAAGCTGAAGGCAGAGAATATTGCTTAATTTCCAAGTACTCCAAAATAATCAATAAAGATCACATACTCTAAGGCATAATCCAAAGACCATAGAAGTGTTGTTGATGAAATTGCTCTCCAACAATTTCGCCCCCTGCACAATCACCAACAAAATATGAGGCCAAAGGACATATTATGATGTCATAACAACCAGTAACACTGAATCCCGAGTCCTACAAGTTCAATCTCCACAATGACAAATCAAATGGAGAACTTAATCTCTCGTTCCAAAACAGACTCAAGCTAACAATATGACCCACAAAGGGAAACATATAGTAACAATAAGAATCAACAAATGCTCCCATAACCATTTGGAAGCTACGATTACCAAGTATGTGGACATCATAGCAAAAGTTAACTCCCTTTCTTAGCATAAAGCATAAATGTTGGTTCTGTTGACTCGTCAATAGTGAATCTTTTTTTCTTTTTCTTTTTTTTTATATAAAAATCAATAGTGAATCTTTGCTGAACAACATTCATTCTGTAACTTACTATCTATTGACTTTAAATGCCACCAACTATCAGATTTCTTCATGACCCAAGACTTCATGGAGTCAAAACCAACTAGACAAAGCAAAAGGTAGCAATTAGAGAACCTGATTCCCTGTTCTCTTTTCCCTCTCAGCTCCAGCAAGGTCAACAACAGTTAGCACAGCATCATCTGGCTGATTGCTCACTTCACCACGTTTCATGTGTAGGTTAATGATGCATTGAGATCGGCTGCGAAAATGTTGACCGGGGATCAAACTACTAATAAACTTACTGTTGAAAACGCCATCCTTGCCAACTAAAGTTCAACTTATTTCACAAACAAAAATTGCACCTGGACTGACTGTTTGTGTTGGTCATACTTGTTGCACGCTTCAACATTGCACAAGCAATCAAGGATTCAGCCTCTGGCGCATTAGAAACCATAACCTGTTCACACATACACCAAAATGTACGTTATCATGCCCGCATTAACAGAAGGAAACCAAATCATTCAATAGTTAAAATACAGCATGGGCAGTAATCCTTGCCTCTTGAACTCTTTTACTAGATGACTGCAACCCGGAATCTACTCTTTCTGGAATCAGATCGCATATTTTTTCGCCTTTACCTCTTTCAGAATATATTTCAAATATTGATAGATAGAATGACCTAGAAAGATGACACAACCAAGTAAGAACTAGCGGAGGAAAGAAAATTGCATACCTCCACCAATCCCTTCAATGAAAATACTTAAAAAACTTGAATGGCTCAAATTACCTTGAAAACTTACAATCCCGGCCCTTAGATTGCTTAAAGATGTGCTGAAGTGCAAGTGGAACCATTCCACGCTCTCTTGGAGTCCCAAACACAGTATGAGTCTTGCCTGAACCGCTAGGCCCTAAAGCGGCCAGCATTCCGCTTCTGCCTTCAAGAAAATCGTTCACTATAGGCTTCACCATCTTCTCGTAAACCTCATTCTTCCAAACAAACAACCAAACAGATGTTCAATTTCAGGTACTAGAAGCTCTATAAGAAATTACTATTGCAGAAAGCGAGAATCTAACTCTGAGGATGGATACCTGCAAGGAATCTGAAGCGAAGACATGAGAAAACCCTTCATAAACCTCTGATTTGATCTTCTTCGAATCGACCAGCGACGGCGGCGGGGATATCGTCACCGAGTGGGAGTCGGTCACCGAGATACAAATTTCACTCCCGATCTTCTTCGCCGGCTGCTTCTCCTTTGTGGAATTTTTCTTGGCGGTAGGGTTTTGGGGCCAGGCATTCTTAGCTCTCGACCTAGTGGCCTCTCCTAGTTGCTTGCACGCCGCCGCAGTGATGGTGCGCACAATCGGCTTGATTCTGAGGAAGACCTTCAGACTCTCGGACGGCGGAGCTTGATCAGCGACGGTGGGAAGTGGCGGATCCGATATCGTGGTCGGCAGGAGTTCTTCCAGTTGAGAAGGAATTGGAGCTTTCATCGGCGTCGGCCTGCCCCGCCGCGGAGGATTCCGGCGTACGCTGACAGTGTTTGGACATGGTTGAGGTGAAGTGATCGAGTCCATTTCCCTCTACTCCCCGAATCTGGATCAGCTTGTAAGGAAATGGAGGAACGGGTAGGAGAATCCAAATAGGAGGCCAATTATCGCGCGACTTTGTGCATTTCAAATTTGAGACTTCCGCCTTCAGATTTTGATTTTCTATTGGGTTTAATTTCCTTTTTATGGATTCAATTTTACTTGTAAATCATCAACCAAATCCTCCAATAATATATACTAGTTTTGTATCCAGTCCGTTGGCCGGTTTGTGGTCATTTGGGTATTTTTTTAGTTAAATGTAGATGGTTCGATTTTTAGTATTGTGCAATGGTAGCCCGAAAAAGTACCTTGATAGTTTATGCTTTTGAGTGCTCATTAACTTTATATTGCTCATTGAATTGGTGTTTCAATTTATACTTAACCATAAGAAATTTAAGTTAGACAACAAATGAAATCAAAAGCTATCTCGAATCTATATTAATACCTAAAGATATTAAACATCACTGAATCAAAGTAACAAATTTTAACAAAAGATCTTTATTTTTGTTATATGTTAAATAAGTAGCTTGCAAATGAAGCATTGAAAATTTATTAATATATCACTATTTCTCTATTTTGATTTAGATGTTGTAGATTTTCATCTATTGAATTACAAATGAATTACTGTACAAAATATAATTATAGATGTTTCTAAATTTTCTATTGACTATATCATATGTTTTCAAAAGCGGAGCAGTTGTCTGACGAAAAAAATGTCAATGACTCACGATTAATGGTTTGTCGTTATACAACTATTTTGGAATCGTTAATGGAACTATTCCTTCATGTAAATAGTATAGACATAAATAATAGCGTAATTAGGTTGAAGAAGCAAATAAGTTATTCCGTTGGAACAGATTTTACGTTTAATACTTCTCTAATAAAAAATTATCTCTTATTGGAAGGTTTGTTATGATCCATAATCTCAATGAATTATGATAAAACCGAACTAAAAATAAGTGAAAATTAGAGATAAAAGTCAAAAGAACATTTGATATGGTTGCGGTCAGTCAATTTTCTTCAACTTTAAGCAAATACACATAGTTAAAAAAATCAATTATTTTTTGTTTGACCTAATTCGACCCAGATATCAATTCGATACAATGTGAATGAAATTATTGTTTAACCTATGACTAAGCATTCGATCGTACATTTTCAAAATTTAATGTAAGGAAAAGACATGCTTATTTGAAAATTAAAAGAATTAAAAACAATATAAATTGATTGTATTTTGCCAAGATTTTCCATTTTTCTTCCTCTTCATGTTTTACGAAATCACTGTGAAATTAAGATTCTAAAACTTTTGAGAGCTAATACTTGGTTTAACTGTTTAACGTAAAACTTAATGCGAAAAAATCTATCCAAACAGAACTCTTCCCAAACATCCACGCCACAATAATGTATAATCTTCGCCACCTCGAAATTCAATTGGCAATTATTTTCCCATTCAAGAGCTAAACAACTTTAGGTAAGTTTTATCGTGAACCACACAAAATAAATCTACAAAAAGCAAAGTATAAATAATTATTATAATAGCAATTACCTTAAAACCAGCGGCGGAACCATGGGAAGGCCACACTAGGCCCGGGCGCAACCTTCCTCCGCATGGTGACAATACCCAGCTCCTCCCAAATTCAAAGCCCATCTCTGTGACTCAATTAGGGCCCAGCCATCTCTCGCTGCCTCCCAAACCAAAACCCCAAAACTCGATTTCCCTTCCCCTCTAATTCTTTCCCTGCGCCAACATAAGTAAAATGAAAAAGGGTTAATATCCTAGTTTGACCCGAAGTTTGGCGTAAGTGACAGTTATGGTCCCATTTCGCAAATAAGACATTTATGGCCTTCTTTTAAAACTATTGGACAAATTTGGCCCAAAATTTTCTCTGACCGTTAATATTGACGGTCAAACACTATTCCGTTAGTGACTCAGCAAACAACCACTGATGTGGCATGCCACATTATTAAATAATATTATTTTAATTTAATTAAAATAACATTAAGAAATTCCCTTTTATTATCCCAAAATTTTCATAGCCCCAAATCCAAACAATAATTCCCTAAACTAAATTTTTGTAAAAAAAAAATTCACTAAACTAAATCAGCATCAACGCCGCCCCCCCTCCTCCTTTCTCTTCTTCACCGAATCCCTCTCTTCCATCTAACTGCATTCTCCACAACCATTCCCCTCTCCAACCCACCATTAAAAAACAATGGCCAAGATCTCCGATCATTCCCTCTCCCCAACAACAGCATGCCACGACCGCCGCCGCTTGTCCCAAGGAGAAGAGGCGGTGGAGCTTCGTCAAGTCCTAATGAGAAAAGGACCACCTCGGCAGCGCCTCCGTCCGCGGTCTCGGCCAAGGTACTGCAGGGAGATCGCGATGGTTCCTCTTCCGCCTCCGTGATTCTCCGACGGATTTCGGTCGCAGATGACTACGACGCCGACGAGGGCTGTCGCGAGGAAGAGGAGGATCCGAGCGAACTATCTCCATGGTGACGGCGGTGGTGACAACGAAGGTGGTGGAGGCCGCGGTTGCCACTGCAAACGCCGCCGCGATGGTCGTCTGGCTTACCAGCAGTGGGAGGAAGGAAATAGAATTGAGAGGGATCAGTGAAGAAGAGGAAGGAGGAGGGAGGCGCCTCTTGTTGATGTTGATTTAGGGAATTAGGGTTTGGATTTGGGGCTTTGGGGATTTTGGGATAATGAAGGGATTTTCTTATTTTTTATTTTAATTAAATTATAAAATTAAATTAACATTATTTACTTACGTGACATGCCACATCAGTGGTTGTTTGCTGAGTCACTAATGAAATAGTGTTTGACCGTTAATATTAATGGTCAAAGAAAATTTTGGACCAAATTTTGGACGAGTCTATGGGATGAAGCGAGTGGGGATGAATCGAAGCAATTGGTTGATGATGAATCATTCAGGGTGATCACATGAAGCTCTCATGCGTGAATAGGTGTCAATCGGGCGGGTTCGGGCTGGGTTCAATCGGGTTGCGGGTTAGTCGGGTTGCGGGTTCATCGGTGTAACACCCTACCCTATACGTTTTGCCTAATCATATTGTTCATACAATTGCAGCGGAATTAAACTTGGGTGTTACATTAATTATCAAAATTTACCCAAATAAAATTTCGACATGAATTACTCGCGTAATGGGCTAACAGTTCTTGCAACTTATCCTGCAAAATAATTCATATGAATCCCTTCATTCGTAGACATACAAATATAGTCATAACCTTATACATTTCTTCTCATAGCCATAGGCACAGTTTCATACTCCGCAACTGTATACCTTACTAATACATGTCATAGTCGTCACAACTTACACAGTTACACAACATATACACATATCATCAACTTTCCACACCTGTGGATATCTCACACTACATCAGAAGCTAGTATGCACATGAAAAACGTTCTCAAAACATTTTTACAAAAAGGTGTGGATCACTGGCCAAAATCCCGAGTAGTAGTCCAAGCACAGAGTAGTTGAAGACCATACCTCATCTTGCATCAACTCTTGCTCAGCTCCACCTATACACCTATCTACTGCTGCTGCTGATGATCTGCTTACACATAGCATAAGCAGAGAAGAAGAATAAAAGAGGGTCAGCTCATAGCTGAGTGAGATAATCATAGCATCGTGAGTTCATAACAGAGCATACCCCTACCATACATCTAGCAAACAAGCCAAAACACTAGGATCGGACCTCAGCCATCCTCATATCCCAATAGGCAAAAGACTCAACCACCTTGACTTATGCATATGCATCTTATCATGTTTTACTCATAGGCGCCTGGTTACTCCCATGCTAATAACTCTCCCGGGAAACATACCCCACATCCCGTCGGATGTAGTCATACATACCCCAACATCTCGTCGGATGTGGTCATACATACCCCACACCACTATGGGTGTAGTCATACCCCGACACCGCTCTGGGTGTGGTCATATCTCATAAGAATTCTTCAGTCACCACCACATGAGAGGTGTGACTATCATACATATCATAATAGAGTAATAGCATAGGGAGCCCTAATTACTATGTAGTTGACCGTGAGATCACAACACTCATATTTGGTATCCTTATACATGATTCATATCTCATCTTGCTTAACCATAATTCATTACTTACACATGTACTTGACCTGGCCACAATTGGCTCAACATAGGTAAATCAGGAGTCGTATAATTGCACTTCCTCGGGATACACCCTCGTGCAAGTCATCCTCCTTAAAACATCATAATATTACCAGGGAATATATATTTTCCCACTTGTGCATCCAAATACAACAATCATGAAAAATCATATCCAATCACCTTCTCGAAACATCATAAGGCATATTCACAATTAACCCCACATCTGGCAACATATATGCAATCATCAACATAAACAAGGTCCATATCGATTAGGGCAAGTCAATAATATCATACAGAAGCCTATAGTTCATCATATAGCAGAAAAGTCCATACACCCCTAAGCATGCCATTCTAATTCACCTAGGTCAATTCTAAGCATCAATATAATTATCATGATACGACAAACCCGGTATGCCGTGCTAATCCCTCACCAGTTCTGGTCGTTCAAACACCGGTTAAACCTTCCCGTACTAAAACGTCAATTTCAGGAACGAACCCCGAATTAAAATTCGAGACCGTCCTAATATCCCCTGCAGTATCCCCGTCAATATTAGTTCTAGGCTCCGGGTCAAATTCTTGATAAAAACACATCCAACCCTGGCCGGAGCTAAATTCAACGATCCCAGCTCCGATCTAAACTCAAGGTATGTGGTACCCCGGATTTCACTCGGGGTACAGTAGAAGGCACCATAATTATATATATATATATATATATATATATATAATTAATACGTATACTTATCCGATCGATCGATAATCCGATTTTCGCCGAAATACTATTAAAACGCTCGATTTTAAATCACGAACTTTCTAGCAATCAAAATATGGGTTTTGCCGGAACGGGATGTTACAATTCTCCCCACCTTAAAAGATTTCGTCCCCGAAATCTATCCTTGAGTCGTACTCTAACTCCTCTTACTTACCCTTAACATGGTCTATCATAGATAAACCCTTTCCTAACTCTTAGAATAGGCGATTCATAACATAGAAAATAACACATAACACCTCAAGTTCCCATGTTTAGGTTTCAAAAACCTATACTGGGCTATCACAACAAAAGCACATCAACAAGCTGAAAACATAACTTATTAGGCAAGATTGTTAACCTGCAAAGTAGGTTGCTACTAACTCAGGGTACTTCTCTCGCATACTTGCTTCAGTCTCCCATGTAGCACTCTCACTATCTTGATTTCTCCACACCACTTTCAACATTGGAATTTCTTTCCTGCGAAGAGTCTTAATTTGAAAATCAACAATCTCAATTGGAACCTCCTCAAAAGTTAAATCTGGACCCAACTCGATCTCTTCTGGTTGTATAACATGGGAAGGATCCACTTTGTACCTCTTCAGCATACTAACATGAAATACATTGTGGATTTGGGATAGTTCTAGAGGCAATGCTAACTTATAAGCCACTGGTCCAATATTCTCTGTGATTTCATATGGCCCAATATATCGAGGTGCAAGCTTTCCTTTCTTACCAAATCTCATAACCCCTTTCCATGGTGACACTTTGAGAAATACTTTCTCACCCACATCGAAATTAACTTCACGCCTACTCGTGTCAACATAAACTTTCTGTCGATCTTGAGCCACCCTTAAACGCTCCCTGATTTCCTTGACCTTGTCAACTGTGATCTGAACTATCTCTGGCCCTGAGATTTGCCTTGCTCCTTCTACATCCCAACATAATAGTGTTCTACACTTCCTCCCATAAAGTGCTTCATATGGTGGAACACCCAAGCTACTATGGTACTGGTTGTTGTAAGCAAACTCAATTAAGGGCAAATGGTCAATCCATGATTCCTCCCATTGCATTACACATGATCGAAGTAACTCCTCTAAGGTAAGGATGGTTCGTTCACTCTGCCCATCTGTTTGAGGATGATAAGCTGAGGTAAAATGCAGTTTAGTTCCCAAGGCATCATGTAAACTTTGCCAAAACCGAGATGTGAAGCTCGGGTCTCGATCAGAGACAATAGAAATTGGCACACCATGCAATCTGACGATCTCCTTAATATATAGTTGAGACAAAGTCTCCAGTGATGGTTTCCATCTAATGGGTAAAAAGTGAGCCGATTTGGTCAGTCAGTCCACAATAACCCATACTGCATCTTTTCCCCTTGATGATGGGAGACCATATACAAAATCCATTGTGATTCTTTCCCACTTCCATTCTGGAATTGGAAGTGGTTGCAGTTTTCCCACAGGAGCTTAATGTTCTGCCTTAACTTTCTGACATACCAGACACGTGAAAACATGTTCAGCCGCTTCCTTTTTCATCCCACGCCACCAAAAATATGGTTTGATCGTGTGATACATTTTAGTTGCTCCTGGGTGCATAGCATAAGCAGAAGAATGAGCTTCATCTAGTATCTCTTTCCTCAAGTTATCAACATTAGGAACACATGCTCTTCCATTAATCTTCAACATGCCATCTACCATTTCAAATGGGCTTTCTTTTCCTTCCTCAATGTCTTGAATGGTTTTTGCCAACTCTGGGTCCTCCTTCTGCTTCTCACGAATTTTGTCATGCAACAAAGGTCGAATGTTCAACCGAGCTAGTAACCCTGTTACACCATCCACTTCCAAATCAACATTCATTGCCCTCAAATCAACCAGATCCGTTATGTTCTTCTTGCCTTTTCTGCTCAGAGCATCCGCAACTACATTAGCTTTACCTGGATGGTAATCAATGGTACAATCATAATCTTTCAACAAATCTATCCATCTCCTCTGGCGACTATTTAAATCCTTCTGATCCATAATATACTTCAAGCTTTTGAGATCAGTTAGGATTTTAAAAGTCTCACCATACAAATAATGTCGCCAAATCTTGAGAGCAAATACCACCGCTACCAATTCTAAGTCATGAGTGGGATAATTTACTTCATGAGGACGCAATTGCCTAGAGGCATATGCGATAACTCTTCCATCTTGCATTAACACACAACCCAGTCCTTGATACGAGGCATCACTATACACCACAAACTCTCCCTGACTTGAAGGTAGTGCAAGTACTGGTGCTGTGGTCAATCTCTTTTTCAGTTCATCAAAACTCTTTTGACATGATTCATCCCAAACATACTTAGTTTTCTTCCTCAACAGTTTAGTCAATGGTGCAGCAATTTTAGAAAATCCTTCAACAAACCGCCGATAGTAACCTGCCATGCCAAGAAAACTTCTCAACTCCGACACATCTTTTGGTGGAGCCCAACTCACCACTGCTTCCACCTTTTTCGGATCCACCTCAACACCTTTTCCAGATATTACATGTCCCAGAAATATTACCTCCTTCAGCCAAAACTCACATTTTGAGAATTTTGCATATAATTGTTTCTCTCTTAGAATTTGCAACACAATTCTAAGGTGAGTTTTGTGCTCCTCCTCGCTTTTAGAATAGATGAGAATATCATCTATGAAAACAATCACAAACTTATCAAGATATTCATGGAAAACTCTGTTCATAAGAGCCATAAATACCGCTGGTGCATTAGTGAGTCCAAAAGGCATTACCAGGAACTCATAATGCCCATATCTTGTTCTAAAAGCTGTCTTTGAGGTTGCTCCATCTGCCACTTTCAATTGATGGTATCCAGACCTCAAATCAATCTTAGAAAAGACCGATGCACCCTGCAATTGATCAAACAAGTCATCTATTCTTGGAAGGGGATAACGATTCTTCACTGTCGCCTTATTCAACCTCCGGTAGTCAATGCACATTCTCATGGAGCCATCTTTCTTCTTGACAAACAAAACTGGTGCACCCCAAGGTGAGATGCTAGGTCGAATAAACCCCTTGTCTAACAATTCTTGCAATTGTTCTTTAAGCTCCTTCAGCTCAATTGGTGCAATTCTATATGGTGCCATTGAAATTGGTGTTGTGCCAGGTACCAATTCAATATCAAACTCTACTTCCCTTACTGGTGGAAGGCCGGGAAGTTCTTCGGGGAATACATCAGGAAACTCCCTTACCACCTCTACATCCTCAACCTTCTTATCATTTACTACAGTAACTTGAGCAAGAAAGGCTTCACAACCTTCCTTCACTAATCGAAAAGCTTCCAAGGCAGAAAGAAAACCATGAGTCTCCTTTTTCTTAATGCCTCGGAATACAACAGGACCTTTATCTGGTGTGTTGAATAACACTTCTTTCTTTTGACAATCCACAACAGCTCCATGTGTTGCCAGAAAGTCCATTCCAAGGATGACATCAAATTCATCAAAAGGTAGCAGAATTAAATCTGCTGCTAGGAAAGCTCCTTCCACACAAATGAAGGAACTTCTAATAACTGAGTCTACCTTCAAGGTATCTCCCACAGGTGTTTTAACACATAAGGTATAACCTAGCTTATCTGGAACTAAGCGTAGCATATGTGCAAACGTATGTGACATGAATGAGTGAGAGGAACCAGTATCGATCAAAGCATATAATTGCTTGCCAAGGATAGAAAGCATACCAGTCACAACTTCTGGTGCCACTTCTGCCTCACCTCGAGTCATTGCATAAACCCTCGGTGCTCCCTATGCTCTGGTACCCTGCGTCCCACTTCCTGATGGCTGATTTCGACCACCACCTCTACCACCCTGTGAACCACCACGACCACTCTGAAATCCACTATGACCTCCCTGGTAACCACCCCTGAATGGGGCTCTACTATATTGCACTGAAGGCTCGGACTGTGTAGCTCTTACTTCTCTCGAATGCGGGCAATCCCTCATGATGTGCCCAGGTTGGCCACAGTGAAAGCATACACCAGAAAATCTCCTACACTCTCCAAGATGCCTCCTCTGACAAACTTGACAAAATGGAAATTGTGTGGCTGAGGAAATTGGTGCCCTGTATGATGTTCCTGACATAGATTGACTTGGTGTTCTCCCAAAACTGCTA